TCCTGGGTGGATTTACTATGACTAAAATATTTTCTTGAGCTTAAAAAACAATTCGGTATCAATAGCATTCTAAAAAGTAAGCAAACACCTGCAGCAAAATGATCCTCAGAATAGGAGAACCAGCAAATGGTAGTTGACCGGAGATAAAAGAGAAATTGTCCAATCTAATTGCATTGTTCCACAAAAGTGAAATGCAAAAGTAAATTATACATAGTTCATGCTTAAAAATCAATTAGTGTTTGTGTATTTTAATCATCATCAATGTTGTTTTTAATTAAAACAAAATATTATATATATAAAATAATTACGACACAAATCTTATTCCTAAAATGTTACAAACACTTTTAAAGGTAGTCAATAATAAGGTACAAGAAAAAGGCGGGATGACCAGCACACATAGACCAATATATATATATATATATATATATATATTATGCATTTGTTTGCAGTGTTCTTTCACTCCAACTTGTTTATAGATTAAAGCACACTTCAAGCCTGATTTTTATTTACACAAAACCCCTTTTACACTGAACTGCAATCTTAAAGGAGCTATCAGAGTGGTGCAAACAGGCTTTGAAGCAAAAGAGGCTTTCTCTGTCTGGACCACAGCTACAGGGCATAAGTGCAAATCTCTTCTTATTAACAGTATCTGGCTTTCTCTTTGTTTGGTCCAAAAGACAACCAAAGTTCAAACTATTAGATTCTCTCTCCTTTTCACTCTCTCTTTTTTTCTCCCTCATGTTCTGGTAATTACAGTCATTTGGGGTGATGGGATGCTCCTCGTGTGCATGTTCTGATCCCCACTCATTGTTATCCATCTTCTGATAGATAAAAGGCTTCTGCTGTCTCTGTAAAAATGATGAGTTAGATTCTTAACTCGTGGAACGAGGAGTAACGGTAGTTTGAATTAGAGATCCTAATTCAAACTACCTACTCCATGCCGCGTGTAGCCACGTGCACAGAGTTAGGACTAAGGGGAATTTAAAAATGGTGGTGCCCAGGAAGATGCAAATGAAGCCCGGGATATTTAAATCCCGGGCTTCATTTGCAACTCCGGTTGCCCTCATTTGCCTACCTAGCTCGAACTACCGAGCTAGTGTAGACATACCCAGAATGTGGGAGCATCCTGCCCGCCTCTTGCCACCTGCAGAAAATATCCGTCCCTCAGCAAGATTCCCCTCCTCTCCCAAGGTACAGAGGGGGGTGGAGAGATCACTTGCCACTTCCTGTTCCCCTGATCCTCCTAGAGAAAAAGAAGACCTGCCACCAGCTTTTTTCTACACTGGGCTCAATGCGGGCCAACAGAAGAGTCCTGCAAGTGTCCTCTACTGCTCCCAGAGTTCCCTAGTGGGGAATTTTGTGGAGGAGAAATGGGGAGATTAAGGGATGTTCCCCTGTGTATTTCTATATCCTGCATGTGCTCATGCATTTTGGGCCGGCTCTGAGACATCAACACCTTTCAGACACACGTATTCCTTTCTCTGCCTTCTCTTTCCCATGCTATGGCAAATCAAAAAGTTAATGCACTGCCACTTCACTGACCACAACGACATAATCACCAGGCTTGAAGAACAACTCTTCCACCTGTTTTTTCTACATTAATGGCGCCCTGCTAGCCACCTGCTGATGTTGTATATCCTCCATTCAGCCCAGCGCCAGAGAGAACGATTTTCAGTGTTCCATCCCTCAGGCACTGCATTCATGGACTTTATAAAGTGGAATATAGTGAACTAATTAACTCACTCAGGTAGGAGCTGCAAAATTAGAATTGTAGCATGCCCTACAGAAAAATCTTTGAACAGCGGTTGATCTGTTCTTACATCTCTTGTAATTTTTCATTGGTGATCAGAGTTACGTGCAAAAAATACTCTGAAATCCAGCCTGTGGAAGGAGATTCAATTTCCAAGTACAAAAATCTGCTGTGGATGGATTCTCAATAGCTGTCTTTATTACCACCTCTGCTAATCAGTATTAAATGACTGTCCTGTTAACACTTTAAAGAGTCCATCTGGGTTATCTCTCTTTTGCCTGAGGCCATATCTAGTAGAAAAAGAAGTCTGTATAGTCTCTAAAATCTGTTCTAGATAGATCGATCCTAACCATGCGAAGGAAACAGTCATTTGTTAGGACCATATACCACCCACACTCAGGCTATAGGTAAATGTATCTTTTCTCTCTCCTCTATTGGCTAAAGCCCTATATGCTGGGTGATTTTGTTAACTACTCTGTTTTGGATGCAGAGATTAATCACACTGAGTAATTAAAGAGGCATATTTTTCTGATTAACATTTACCATTGCAATTAGCACAAGGCTGTGCCCTTCGTGACAGATGCCTCCAGGCTAAGTGTGTCAGTATAGCACATCAAAAAGACCTTTTGCTCTTGGAATAAAACAGCAATAAAAAAAAGCCAGGAAGCTGTTTAATTTAACTGAGTTTGGTTTTATGGAAATTGGTATTGATCGGTGCCCAATGCTTTTCTTTATCTCCTATCCTTGCTTGACAGAATAAGAAACATGCTGAAGAAGCCATTCTACCCCCCTACCACCCATATGTCCTGCTTAAAATATATTCTTTAGGGTCAATATTTTCAAATGTGAGAGACTGAAGCTAGGCACCTATGGCTCCAGCTCTATAGGGTAGGGTGTTCCATGTGGATACACACAGAACCCCATTGACTTCACTGGAATGCTACAAGGTTATGGAGCTATCTGGACACAGCCCTATGGAGGACTGGGCTGAAGTCCTAAAATCAGTGGTATATTTGGACACTCAGAAGCTTGACCATTTATTTAGACTTCTGAAATATAGATGATGATGATGATGATGACGATGATGATGATGATGATGATGATGATGACAGAACATCATCGTCTGTATTTCTGGATAATATGTAAAAATACAGAAGATAAGCATATACATTAGGCATGAGAGACGAGACAGAGTGGACTAATGTAGCAATTAAAATGGAAACATTTTTACACGGGGAGTTGAGAATTTTTTTAACAGCAGGATGATATGGGAAAGCGATAACCTGCCACAATAACTAGATATTTATATCAGTATTCAGTATCAGTATCAGTATATCAGTATTTATATCAGTATTTATCAGTATTCACTTAGAAATTCTTAAAACCAGTTTCCATAAATGTAAAGTGAAGTTAGCAACCAATGAACATCAAGTGATATGACAGAATTTCTCTTACATGGATTGACTTTACCTTGGGAAAAGTCCATTTATCTAAGATTGTCCTTTAGAAATATCTTCACGAGGCATAAATGATCTGATGACAAAGGGTGCTGGGGTCAGCTGATCCCCGTCTAGACTACTGTGCTGTGCCGACAATCAGCTGATCGGCACAGCACAGTGGCCATTTTGATGTAAATTACTTAAATGGCCGCTTCATTTTGCTATGTCTAGTAAACTCATCTACATGGCTCCGTCGACAGAGCCATGTAGTCTAGACACACTCTACCTGTAGTACATGACCTGAAATGAGTCCCATTAATGATGTGTGTTTGT